AAAAGCAGAGACCAAGTATTTACCAGCAGTATGTATGAAGGATTGGAAGAGAAAGACTGGATATAGGGTAGCATCAAGAAAAGAAGGCAGAGATATCCCAGAAACAGAATCAACGTGTACGATATGGAAGAAAGGAGTTGAAGGTAGGATTCAGAAAGAGAAAGGTTTCAGGGTGTGGAGATGATGAATATTGGTTTAGACAGGCTGAGTTTAAGATGCCCACAGGACATCTATGTAGAGCAGACAAATATGCTACCATCCTTATATTTCATTCTCCACAGTGACTACCTGTATATCACTTGTCTCGTGAAAAATCCTGCTTTGCCCTTACCCGTACCCTTCTATCAGAGTCATAATTTCCTGTCTAACATTTAAAGACCCTCCAATCACCTACCTTACCTCAACTCTAACCCATTACTGCCTATCTGGTGTGGCTAACCTATTTCCTAGACTCATCCCATTGTTTAAACCTTACCATCACTAGGAAGCAGTCTTGACTACCTAAATGGGCAAGATTCCTCCCAAACAGAAGAATAAAAAGGTATATACTATGAATTATATATGCAAGATCATGGCTTGCCCAATACCTAGATCATAAAATCTCAAGGTACCCTGGTTCTCTGGGATACCAAGCACTCCACTGGTACTCAGTAAATAACAAAGTAAATACTATGTAGAATTTGGTCTTTTTATTTTCAGAGGGAATAAAAAATATCTTGAGGGTAAAAGAGAATCAGAACGTTCTTACACAGGATGTACACAGCATTTTTGTACTAGAAACTAACAAGATAATGCTCTTAACAACATATTAACAGGAGTCTGATTATGTCCTAAACTCAGTACTGTTTTCATCTTCATTCCAAAACTACTAAGTTCTAATAATTACATTTTTTTTTAAATGTAATTTTTGGTTGAGTACTTAAAAGTCAGTCTAGTATAACCTAGTAATTAGGTTGTACTATACAAAAGCTCTGGTTTTGGAGTCAACTGACCCTGGAGTCAAATCGCAGCTATGCCACTTACTAGCTATATGAACAGTCATGTTACTTAACTTCTCTGAGCCTCAGTTTTCCCATCTGTAAAGTGAGAATGAATGTTTTCCCACCTCACAGTATTACTGTCAGGATTAAATAGAATCACATGTTTAAAGTACCTCGCCCAGTATCTACTACATACTAAGTGTTCAATAAATGGTGGCTATTTCTACTACTAGAAAAAACAGCAAAAATATTCAGAGAATTTCATAAGACATGTTAGTAAAATTACTTAGTTTGAAAAAGGGAAAGTTTAAGAGTGATGTGAGGATAGTCATCAAGTATACGAAATTCATTTTAATTAAAAAAAAAAAATACTTCCCTTAGTGAAAGGAGACAGATCTAGAATAAACGGCTTTAAATTAAGAGATACTTGAGTTATACATAAGGATGAATTTCTCGACTCTGAAAAGTGTTATACAATACTGGTCCTATTTTAGGTTACTTGGGTGGAATCACAATTCCTTGATATATTTTAAAACAGGGCAAACAAAAATCTTATCTTGGATGCCTTGTAGGTAATCTCCTCTGGGGTAAGGAAGCTAAACTAAATGGCCTTCTGAACTCCAGTTCTTGGAATCTATGATACATCTGACACAGATACCAATTAGAATAGTAACTATCCGATGCAGGTACTCTTAACGATCTCACCATCTAGTTTTATCCAGAAAGAGTATGTTCTTCAAATATACTCCTCTCAAATATCTCCTTAAAGAAATTTTAAAAGGCGATGATAACTCCTAATTTTACCCATAAACTTGCACTTCTTGGCTAAATGGCTGGAGAATAAGAGTAGATGATAATAGATGCAGGATCTCCATATGGCTTCAATAGGAACTAGAAATCATTCTGGAAAAATATATACCATATCTATCTAAACTGGAAAAAAAAAAAAACGGACTTTAAAATTATAAAAGCCTTAATACTCTGGCAAATTTTTCCTGGTCCATCTCGGTGCTATGTACTTCATGACGAAGTAAAAGAGATGAATATGTTCATGCAGGATAGCTTTCCTCCCCGATCCTTGCAGCTGACATGAAAACCTCAGAAAATTGCCCATGGCAGCAAGAACATAGAAACTACACGACTGTACCTTCTGGTCTACTGAGACCTCCCATCCTCACAAGACTCTGACCCATCTGGCCACCTATACACTTTTACCTTAAGTGCCAGCCTCTTCTCTTTATACTTTTCTCTGGGGCAAGTGAGCCCCTTTGGAGCCAACACCAGATACAGACTAGAATCTGTCTTGAAAGCACTCTGGGACCGGCACTCCTTTTGTCGATTATTTTCAATAGGTATTCATGACCTACTTTTCACCTAGAAATCCAGATGAACAGGAGCCAGAGCAAACAGGCACACATGATAAAATGCCTTAAAAAGTCAATTAGGAAGGCTGATTATCTAGTTTATATCAAGATTATCAGTGATATAAAGCTCTTCACTTTTTCTCCCCTCCTATTTGATTTATGGCTCTTTTATTGCTTAGACAAATTTACGCAAAGAAAAGTAAAGAAGAAACTAAAATCTGGAATTTTGATTACTTGATAGTACTTCATGTGAAAACAATATAATGGAAGGAGCAAAACTAAAGGCTAAAAGGAAAGACAAATTATTTCAAAGTTGAACATATAAATGCTACTCTCCTATCCCCTATATGTTATTTTAATCCTAACATTTTGGGAAAGGAGAGGGAGCAAAATTATATACCCAGGCTTAAAAGTTCCCCTGTTCTGCTAGATGCCCACAGCCTCAAAATGGCTTCTGAAACACCTTTTCTAAGGTAACTCCTTATATCTTTTATAGCACTTTTTAGTCATGCAACATCACTGTTTAATAAGCAGTGATAAAGCATTATCTCTATTTTACAGTTGGGGAAAAGACAAATAAGTTAATGACTTGTCCAAGGTTACATAATGTGTCAGTGGCAGGGTTATTATATTTAAAAAAAAAAAAAAAAAGGCCTCATGACTTCCCAGCCCAGCATGCTTTTCATTAGCCTACAATGATATTAGCAGATCTTATTATTATTATTTACAAAGAAAAAGAATAATAATTACAATGGTGGCTACCATTTATCAAGTCCTAACTATCTGTCAGGTACCATGCTAGGTCCTTTATATTATCTCTTTTAATCTTGGTAAATAACCCTGTGAGGCAAGTACTGTCATTATCCCCTTTTTACAGGTTAGAGAAACATGGCTTAGAGAAGTAAATAACTTGCCCAGGGTCACCCAGCTAGTAAGCAACAGAGCTGGGATTCAAACCCAAACCCAAGTGTATTCCTATACTTTATGTTCTTAACCACTCCCTAGATCAAGAAGCAAATTTAATTATTTATAATACACTACACTTGGGAAGAAAATTAACTTCCTACACTATGACATTAAACATTACTTGAAACAATTTATAAACTTATACAAAGTTCTGATGCCTTCTTCACAAACAGGTCCAAATAAATTAAATCTCCACTGAATTTAGCAATGCTGCCAGATATATGCTACTGCTTCATTTAAAACTAGCCACTGCATTTATTAATAATATCTTAAAATTAGGGATCAAAACTGCTCCTGTTCTGACTAGAGCAGCACGCCAAATGACCAAAAATGCTAACAAGTCAGAATGTAGAAGCATTTTCCAGGAATATCCACAATGCCAAAGAATAAATACTAGGGTAATAAGGTTTATAGCACAACCAACTCTCAAGCAAACAGTATTGTTTCTTTCTATCTGAATTTGTTTTTAAGGACTAGAAAATAAAAACATACTGTTCTGGTTTTGAAAAAAATCAGCAAGCCACAGTAATATGACCAAAACATAAACTACCAAGTAAAAATCACATTTTAAAAAAAATGGCACTTTCTATTGCTATCTACAGTTTTAGGAGTGGGGAAGATAAGCATTTTCACAGTTAAGGTCTCACTACAATAAAAACAGTCTGACCTCTGAATTCCCATTTATACCAATACTGATACTACCTAGGGTTTAGGATTGTTTCTTATCCTAAAGCAAATCTCAAATGTTCTATTTGAATTTATATTTCTTTATACTGCTTTTTTCTAGTACTAAAGGACTACTTTTCAAAATATATTGTTCCTGATCATAAAAATGATAGCCCCTGTCTTCCTATCACCATTTTATCCAATAACCACCATTTCAGATTTTGGTGAAATATAAGATTACTCAGTGCCTAAGAACATCAATATATGTTCTACCAAACCCACCTTTAAAATAATGAAACACTCACGAGAGAAGTTACTGAAGGTACATTTATGGATGTCATTACAAAAAGAGCTCAAATGAGAAAAATGAAAATAAATCTTCCAGTTAATTACGTGTTCCAAAATAAACCATAATGTGTCATGAGTGCCAATTGAGATGACACTAATTTTCCAATAGAGCAATATAATATCTTGCCAATCTGGTTTCTGGTAGTGAAGACAACAACAGGAACATTAGCATAGCTTCAAAACAATTCCTGTGAAATTCACTGAAAGACATCCAAAGTCATAAGCGCTGTGTTATATAGCAGGTCCACATAAAATACTTCGTCCAGCAAGTGCTAACATTTTCCTTCTGAAATGGTACTATCATTTTCATTTGTAATGACATTACTTTATGATGGAAGATGAAAACAAATCAGAACTTAATTATGTAATATACTCAAATGAAGACTTTAACACACAATATTCTCAAATTAAGCAAACTGCTTGTTTTCTAAGTAAACACAGTCTCCAAAAAGTAATTCTTTCTGGAAAAAAAATTGAATAATATGACTACTGAGTCACTCCTTTTTAGTTGAGTACTAAATAAGTTAAATTCAGCTTTGAATTTTGCTGGTTCAGAAAAAAAGGCCGCAATTTAAAATTACACTCAGTTAATAATGCAATACACTCTAAAATAAGCAATTTCCTCCTTAATGAGCTTAATAATTTTTATCCTCAAGAGGCAGAAATACCAACTTACCAGTTTTGTGCCTCTTTTTATTTCCTTTTGGACATCTTCAATAGAAAATCCACCAAGACTCTCATTATCAGAGTGTGATGATACCAAAGCAGATGAAAAGAGCTATAAATTACATTAAAAAAAAATTGAGGTTCACACATAAATTACAGGAAAACAATGAATATGATGGTTAATTTAAAAGGATATTTTCTAGTTAAAATAGCACAGAATTAGTGATGAATTATTTCTTAAAAATTTAAGTGAGTTTGTTAGTATTCAGGAATACTTATCTGCTATTAAGATTTTAGTAAATCAGGTCTTCTGGTTGCTGTCGTATACTTACCATACATTTATGGTGTGCTGCCACCTTCTGGTTTTCAGATATTAGTAACTGTCCACATTCCTTGTCTCTATTTGACTTACAAAAGCCACATTTGCGCTGTCTTGTAGGCCCCTTTTTCTGTTCAACTGAGCTTGACATGATTTAAAAATTGCCTTTAGAATGCCACTTTAAGTATCAAAAAATGCTACAGAGAATAAGAAGGGCAACAAAATAGTTAATTTCATTTTAAAACCAGTTTATACATATTCATATAAGTTGTTTAATATCTGACCTAAGTTTAAATATATACATTTTAAAATGGCTACCTGTTATAGACAAATTAATATTAAAATTTAAGATGCCTTCATAAGAAAAGAAAATATAAAGATGACTAAATGAAGTTTAAAGTAATTGAGAAAATTAATTGCTACAAAATTAGGGAAATGTGAAATAATTAGAACTATTTTTGTGTGGCTAAATGAAAAATGTACAATGTAAGATATTAAATCATCATCTGCTGATATAATGCAAAATATCTTTCATGTATAGTTAAGTGCCCCTTCAAGGAGACAAAGAAATAAATATCTAACAGCAGAGTAAAAACTACTTAAAACACTATGCAATATCCAGAGTGAACAGAATTCTGTAACTGCACAATTTCTTCAAATTCACATACTGATAAACCAACAAAAGTGAAATAAATTTACTTTTCTTAATCATGAGTTTCTAACTTTAAAATTTAATTTCCAAGTTTAAAAATATCATGTATCTATCTTTAGTAAATTAATCTGTGCTATTCGATTTCTTTTTCAAAAGAAAAAAATTAAACTTATAACAAGTCTATTCAAAAACAGACCTGATTATTTATAAAATAACTGTAATATCTGACTCTGAGATTTACTCCAAAAGTCTGCTTTAATTAATTAAAGTTGCAAACTGACACTGGTCTTCTAAATGTAGTAACTTCCATGCTTAAATTAGGAATATTGTGTAAATAAAGGAAATCTTTTCTGAATGAGCCTTAAATTTAGTGAAATTATAATCACAGGTAATATATAGTCAAACAAAGGGAAGAAAAGCTCTAACACGGAAGATTTCAGATTTAGATCATCAATCTCGACATGAATTCTTCAGAAGAATGCCAAACACACTGAAAATCAGTTATTTGATTTGTGTAGTTATCCTAAATCAACAGGACTAAGCAGTTTAGGACCCACAACACACATCACAACAAACAAAAGCTCAAATATTTTTCTTAAAATTAATTAATTAAATTCTTTGTGTTTTTCTATATATTTAAGCATTTTCATAACACTGTGTTGAAAAAATCGACTTACTAACACTACATTGTAGCTTTCTGAGGAGCACTTGTTCACCAACAAGAACAGCAGTGGCTGAGTGCCAGCAAGGTAATATTTACAAACTACTCAGCATTCAATATAAAAATTCAGATAGTTAATCAGTATTTAAAGGGCAGTCACAAAGAAACTTGTCTTCTCATCAATTACACCTAGGTCTTTCTTTTTAACTTAAAACTACAAAGGCCCTGACAGTTTCTGCTTTGATGAGTTTTACAAACTCTCAACGCCATCTACAATTTTAAATACCTCAGTCTTCCAAAAGGCATGATACTTTACAATAGTACGGTATTCATAGCACTGGCTATAAACCATGAAACTGATTGAAAACAGGCAGCAAATACTTTTAGGATTAAAGAAAAAAAGGACATAACAGAGAAACAAAAGAAACAAAAGGGGAAGTGTGTTTGCATTTGCTCGGGCAAGTACGTGTTCAGCTGCTTTATCAAGAGTATAGTTACCAAAATCTTTAGAATCAGCTATGCAAAATATCAAAATTCATAAATAGCACCAAAACTTGCTATTTGAAATCTAAATTAGTTTTCCTTACAACTATGCAATACACAGTAGGCACTCCAAACCCACTGTAACATATTTAGCATTTCTCCTAGTCATCCTGGCCAGTTGAAAGGATGGCCCGTTATAAATCTAATCTGTGCGTGCATCCTTAACGTGTGGTGTCTACATCATCCCAGCACTGGCTATGAAAGTGGTGTAAGATGAAGAAAATTCATAGAAAAGAAAATATCTTTTTATTCTTAAAAATAATATCTCAAAAATTCTATCCACATTGAATTCTGCCTCTTTCCATTTATAAACAGGTAAATTTCCTCATCCTAATTTTGAGAACCTGCCAAAACCCCCAAAATCTAGAAAAGAGGTGTACTTTATTTTGCATTCAACAATATTTCGGTGTATTTTTTCTACAATCAGTTTAAATTTAATTTGTAAACTGAATACAGCCACACAAAAAAAGTGCACCAAACCAATTAAAAACTCTCCCCAATGTGCAATGACTAAATGGATTTTTCCACTAAAATTAAAATAATGCATCTGTGCATATCTTGCTAAAAATTTTTTTGCAGCCTCCTTGTAAAACGAAGCGGAGAACATCACGGAAACAATGACTCCTTGCAAAAAACGTCTTTATCATAAAATACAGATTTTTATCTAATGCTGTCACATTTGTGTTCTCTAGTTAAGCCAAGGACCAATATTAAGGGGTTCAAAATAATCCACAGCTATATGTTATTTTAATTTTGGTCTAAAAGGTTTTTCAGGGCATGCAGAGATCAAAGTTTGATGCTTTCACCCAACAATGAAGTCTTTTCTTTAAAGGAAACATAACATCCATAATGTTACAAAGCAGAAATAAAGAGGCAAAGATAATAGCGTGAAAAATACAATTTAAAGGTCTGAGGAAAAAAAAAAAAGCCAGATTAGTTAGGCTGAAGCAATCAATGCGTTTTCTGATTTTCCAAGATGCTGTGAAGCAGCAAGGTAGAAATAACCTGAAACATTAAGAAGAGCACTCAAGGACCAACTCAAGAGCTCATTCAATGCCTAGTAACTGAAAGATCATTTTTACGGAAAAACAAAACAAAACAAACAAACAACCCCTGCCCCTGCAGTTCCGGAAATTATAAAAAATTCCACACACCAGCAAGCTGAAACATACAGATCAAAATATATAAAGGTGATCTCCAAAAGAAGTCGTATTTCTTATCAGGAAAGTTACAGTGGGGAGAAAGAAACGAGTAAGATGTACCGGAAGGGCACCTGAATTTGGTTGCACGATACTATTACATGCTTCGCACTGCTTTTTGCGGTTATTCAAAAGGAAACTGAAGGAATTTTCCAGTTGTTTCAAACCCCAGGACAGAGAAAGAATTTGAATGGTAGGAATAAAACCTAACATTACGTAGTAAGCCCATGGAAAAAAAAAGATTTCCCAAAGCAGAAGCGTCATCAACTTACACGCAGAATATCGAAACGAATAGAAATTTCAAAAGACTACACAGACTACCTTGCTGTTCGCCCATATAATAAAGGATGGTACACAGAACGTACCGGACTCTCCGTTATTTATTCCTCAATACACACGAGACGCCAAGATCTCCTTTTAATCAAGCGCTAGATAAACTCGCAAAACTATCTCCCTCTAAAACACTTTCGTAGGTTCCTTTCGGTCCAAAAGTCAGGGTCGCCTAATCGTCCTTTTCCAATTCCTCCCGAATCCAGGGAAATATCCTAGCACTTTCTCTTTTTCCCCTTCTTCCCCCAGGGATTCGCCCTCGAATAGGCTTCGTTTTCAGCTTCGCCTGATACCTCAGTTTGCACCCCTAACTCCCCCCACCCCGGAGTTTTTCCTCATTCCGTCAGGCTAACCCCTTTTGCCATCCTAACAATCTTTCCCCAACTAGGACTCTCCCTCCTTCCCAAATATGTCTTAAGCAAACGCGAAGACTAAAAAAATTCTCCGTTTTTTTTTCTCCTCAAAAATGTTGCGCCCCCTCCCCCGAAGTCTAGGCTTACAGCCGACTCTCTCCCTCAGCGCCTCCAAAGCACTTTCTCACCATCTCTTCCCCAGTGCCTTCAATAAGCCACGGAGCGGCGCTTCTGGGGTCCCTGACAATAAAGCGAGACCACCAAGAGTCCCCCTTAACAACGGGCAGGGGCGGCGGCCTGGCCACCGCCATCCTCCTTGTCTTCTCCCGCCGGGCAGAGAATGGGGGGGGAGGGGGGGTCTCAGGGTTCTGTAAGGACTCACCAGCGAGGCCCAGAGGCGGACGGCAGGAGAGAAGCGCCAATGAGGGGAAAGAGAAAGAAGTCGGTCCCGGTTCTCCGGCAGCGCCTGAGAGCGGGGCTCTGTCGCCGGAGGTTGTTTCCTTTCATTCGAGGAGACGGGCTCGCGAAGCGCCCTTACGTCGCCCCCCCTTGCACGCACACGTCCCACAAAGCGTTGATACGTCCCGAGCGCGCCGCGGGACCTGATTGGCAGTAGAGACGGGGCAGCTGAGGCTGCAGAGCCATAGCGCATGTGCAGGTACCGCCCCCTGCAAGGATCCGGGCGGCAGGCCCCGCCTCCGGCTTGCGCGCGTACCTTCTATTCTCTGGTCTGCCGCTCCGCCAAGTGTTTGGGGGCAGGATCTGAGAAGCAAGAGAAAGCGATTCAAAGATATCGCTGTGGGTTGGGCGGAGGAGGGGCAGGGACTGGAACTGTTGGACCGGGGCCCTGGGTGACCGGTTTTCAGCAGTGGTTCGAGTGGCTAGGCCTCATCCCTTGCACTTGTTCACCGAGGCCTTTCCACATCCATTATTTCATTGTACTCTCGTGGCATCCCTTGGAGCTCAGAAGACCTCTCCGTTCTCACTTTACTGCCAGGAAGGACTGAGAAGCTCGCAGTGGAGTCAGACTGCCTAGATTTAAGTGCTTCGGCGAACCATTTTAACCTCTGTACCTTAGTATTTCGTATTTAAAATGGGGATAAAAATAGTACCTCACGGGATAATTGCGAGGAAGAAATAATACAAGCAAAGCATGTACGGGTGTCCCTGGCATGTAACAGGCCCGCTATATAAATAAATGCAGGGATTATCCAGAAAAGACAAGTGATTTGCCTTTATAACGTACACAAGTAAACCTGACGCCTAAACGAGCGCTTACCCTTTCGACGTATCGAGCCAGACTGCTTGGGTTTGAATCCCAGCTCCCCGACTCCCTAGCTCTATGACCTTGAGCACGTTGCTTTGCCTCTCTGTGCCTAGGTTTCATCACGTCCGATAATGGAGATTATAACAGTATCCATCTCGTAGGGTTGTTGTGAGAAACAAATGAGTTAATATGTATCTGTAAATCCCATAGAATAATGCCTGATACATAGTATGCCCTATGTAAGGGTCACGGAGCCCTGGTGGCACAGTGGTTAAAGCATTCGACTGCCGACAGAAAGATTGGCGGTTCCAAACCACCAGGGCTTTGGGGGAGAAAGATGTGGCGGGTCGGTTTCCGTGGAGATTTACAGCCTTTGAAACCCTATGGGGTCGTTATGAGTCAGAATGGACTCAACAGGCAGTGGGTTTGGGTTGTTTTTGTTTTTTAAATGTAAGGGTCAGTTTTTGTTATTTCCTACTGGACTCACAGACTGCAAGCCAGTGTGTTTATGTTTACAAAATAAAAAAAGCCCTAACAAACCAATGAAAACTTGAAGATGCTCTTCAAATAGCTGTTTTTCCTGTAGTGGGGTGGATTTCCACCGTTTTGATCCAATTCTGTTTCTACCCTGTTTATCATTGTTTTTTATTTTTCCTTGCAATGTCAACCTTAAATTGTAATTCCCTCCAAGAACACAGTGACCATGTTGGTGTAAAACTGCATTTCATTCAAACAGGTAACTGATAAAAGCAGACAAATTAGTCATTTAGCTGCACAGGGCCCTTAGGCCTTTTCACTAAGGCCCAGTGCTGCCAAATGGAACGGCTAGAGATTTGCATAAGAAGATCCAGAAACATTTACAGGGCGTTTGAAAATAGATCCCAGTCATGGGTGCCCCAGCATTATTTTTCCACTGGCTTTACAACTCACACAGGTAAACCTGACACCTAAACTTTACACACTCACTGACGTCAGATGGAACTGATGGTTGTGTGACAAAATGTAGTGCCTATGCTGTGTGTCATCTTTTGAGGACCTCCCCTAGCCCCCACATTTTGCTAGCTTTTTTTTATTCATTCTTTCACCCATGCATTCATCTCAATAAAACTTGATTCAATAAACATTTGCAGACCTACTAAGTTCCAAACGCAAGGAGACATAGATCAATACAATTCAATGTCTAAAGAGGAGACAGACAGGCAAACAAATACACCATGATGTGATAAATACTATAGTAGGTTTTTCCTGGTCTGCCTGGTGCAGATATCCTCTGCCTGTAATGTACAAAGTACGATGCTAAGGTACAACACCACAGTCAAAAACACACAGCATTTGCCCTCAACTGTTTACAGTCTAGTGAGGAAAAGACAAATAGCTAAGATAGGGGTGGAAAGGAAGTGCAGAGAGAGTTCAAGAGAGGGAGAGATCAGTGACTCCAGTTAGTTTCAGGCCCTAGGTCTGTTCCAAAAGCACCAAACCCGCTGCCGTGGAGTTGATTCCGGCTCATAGCAACTCTATAGGACAGAGTAGAACTGCCCAATAGGGTCTCCAAGGCTGTAATCTTTACCGAAGCGGAGCGACTGATGGGTTTGAACTGCCGACCTTTCAGTTAGCAGTCGAGCGCTTAACCACCGCACCACCAGGGATACTTCCAGGTCTGGTAGCCAGTCCCAGTTAGCATGACTGATAAATGCAGCCTGTTATTTCCAGGGCTGCAGAAAGGAATCAAGATTGAGATAACAAGCTCTTAACAATACCTGAGGATGTAGCCTGTGATCTACTAATCTCTTAATGATCACCAGGACTCCCACCAACACTTTTCCAGTCTTTTTCTTCAGGCTCCAGATCCCCCTTTCTGTACCTCGTTCTCAGCAGAGGCCTTCACTTCCTGACTTACCGAGAAAAGGGCTATCTGAGCTAAACTACTTTATCTTGTACCGCCATCCTTCAACACTCAGAGAGTTGTCCTTCCTGCTTTCTAAAGCTAAACCTGTGCTTTGAATCACACCCCTTCCAAGCTCTGGAGGAACTGATGCTCCACTTATTCCCCCCTCCAGCAGCATCAATTGCCATCAGATTCAACATTGGCCTTCAAAAGTATAGGATTCATCTGCCTTCACTGGCCAGACTGTGCTGTCTACCTGCAATTGCTCTCCAATCCCTCATTCAGCAAGTATGTACACAGGTTTTCTGTATGTCAGGTATTATGCCAGACACTGGGGATTTGAAAAGGAGTTAAGACACACCTCCTGCCTTCAAGGAATTCTCAGTCAAATGAGGAAGAAAAACAAACAACAATTTTAGTACAATCAATTAACTGTTAAAATAGATACATACCAGGATTGAGGATTCTGCCCAACAGAGTCAAGAAAAACATCACTGGGGAGGCAATGTTTTGAGTTGGATCTTGAAGGACAGGTTGGGGCCCAGAAAAATCTGGATTCTGTCTTCATGACGTTACTAAAAACATGCTCAAAGGCCACACAGGATCTTTTTCACGTATTCAATGATTTTTCTCCACTTTCATTCTTGACATCTCTGTTACTTTTGACACTGTTGGTCGTCTACTTGTTCTTAAATTCTCATCTTCCTTGGCTAACAACAGTGCTCTGACTGGCTGCTATTTCTGTTTCTTCTGTAGGTATCCCTTCTTCCTCTCACTTTATAATGCAGACTTTTCCCTAGACTGAGTCTTAGACCCTCTGCTGGTCTATTGCTCTTCCAGCCCAGCAGTTCTTAAACTTTGCAAGTGAGAATTACCTGGGGAGCTTGTTAAAAATGCAGAATTTTGGGCGCAACCCCTTGGAGATTCTGAAGGTCTGAGTATGGGAATCACCTTCTTAAACTCCCCAGGTCATTCTTTATAAAGAAATTGCCCTATGTTCTTTTTTTTTTTTGGAGATTTTGATAAAATTTCCTGACTTCCACTACCTTGTAAACAACCACTTAGCAGCTGCATCTGCTTTGATCAACCCTTTCCTTGACCTCAAATCACCAAGTTCAGAAGAAATTCATCATCTTCAGAACTAAAAAATAACTTCCCATCTTAAATGTTTCTGTATAAAATACCACTAGCATTTCTGCTCCTGCCTAAATCAAATGCTAAATTCACCTACATGCCTATGACCTCCCTTCTGGCTATAATCATCATCAGTGGATCATTCATTCATTCATCAATCAAATACATATTGTTCGCCTATAATGGTTTAGATAAAAATGGACATGATTCATTTTGGTGTAGCGGTAAAGACAGACCTTAATCAAATAATCACATAAACAAATGTAAAACTGCAACTATGACAAGTGCAAAAAGAAGTAAATGTCCCTTAATATGAAATTGAAGTCTATTGATATTTTGTATATCGAATATATTTTATATTTTTTATTCTTTGTTTTTAAAATGGATGAAGCATTTTTTCAGACTTTTTAAAAAAATTTCTTGTGGTAAGATATGTATAACAAAAAGTTTGCCATTTTAACCATTTTTAAGTGTACAATTCAGTGACGTTAATTACATTCACCATTCACCATGTTATGCAAGAAGCCCTGGTGGCGCACTGGTTAAGGTGTTCAGCTGCTAACAGAAAGTTCGGCAGTTTGAATCCACCAGCCGCTCCTTGGAAACCCAGTAGGATAGTTCTACTCTGTCCTATAGGGTTGCTATGAGTCGGAATTCACTTGACGGCAATGGGTTTGGTTTTTGGTTTTATGTTGTGCTACCATCACCACCATCCGTTTCCAAAAGTTTTACATCCCCCCAAACAGAAACTCAGTAACCCCTCAACAGTAACTCCCATTCTTCCCTCCCCTCAGCCTCTGGTAACCACTAATTAACTTCTGTCTCTATGTATTTGTCTATTCTAGATACTTTGTTAAAGTGGGTAGGTTAAGCATTTGTAATGTTTCTGCGGGGAAATAAAGTGGTATTTATATGTATGGGATGTAGCATAAGAGTTAAAAGCCCTGGGTTTGAATCCCTAGCTTGCCACTAACAGAGTAACCTTGGGCTGTTCATTTGACGTCTCTGAATCTTAGTTTAGACATTAGTAAAGTGAGAATAATAGTATTTGCAAGGTTTTTGTGGGGCACAAGGACAGATTGTATTTGTGAATGTTATTGTCCCAACATATATGAAGGACAGTTATTTTTCTCTGTATCCCTTGACTGTCAGCTAATCTCTGATTGACCTACCCGTTAGTTGGTTCCCAGTATTCAGGTTCTGTGCTGTTCTACTTAGTTTTTGCTGTTTGCTTTTTAACTTCCTC